GACAGAGTCTGCTGAAGGTTGTGTGAAAGACTTCATCTTTGGATCAAAAAGGCAACCTGAAAGAGAAATTGAGAAGCTGGCCCTTGACAGTGCAAAGGAATATCATTAGTCTTTTTTTTGGGAAAAATAAAATGAACATCCTTAGTTAAATAGGCAGTTAACAATGTATTGAGAATGATTCTACTGTTGTTAGTTTTATGTGGTGATATTTGGACCTTATGTGGTGATATTTCATGTTTTGTTTCATTTCATGTATGATCTTCACCTTGCTGCTGAGGTAAAACCAAATTCAGTATGGATATGATTCTTGGGCATTTGAGCAGTGTTTTATAATTTTGGAATCCTTTGCACTATTTGGAAATGGCCACATAACGATAGAAATTCTTTTTAGATCGATTAACAGATAATCCTATTAGAAAAATTAACGGCACGTGAATGTTGTCATATATATGCAAATACATATACAAATAGAAAATAGATGGTTTCAACTAGGAACATCTTTTAAAGAAATATTCTTTTTAGTTATTTTTTTTTCTCATGTGGTACAAGACTACGCATATATAAATAGAAAATATATGGTTTCAACTGTTGGCGAGTCCTTACTTAGTTAGGATTTTGGTTCCTTATTTCATTAGAATTTTGGTTACTTACCAATTATTATTTAGTCCTATTGTGATAGAGATTTACTTCCTATTGTAATTTAGATATATTTCATATTTTATTTAGGGTTAACACATCTTTGTACTTGTATAAATACCTCCATATTGGAGAAGAATAAAAATAGGAGCGTATCTGAGCATAACTGAATATGTGCCCTACTTTGTTTGACATCAACTAGGAATATCTTTTAAAGAAATATTCTTTTTATCTACTACTGAGGGGAGTGAAGATGAAGACATACATCTCCAATGTCCTCTCCTTGACCTCCTCTGTTTGTACTCAGACTTCATAAACAAATCCACTTGAAACACAAAACCAAGCAGAGAAAATGGATGAGTTTGGTCCTTAAAATCTCTTTGCCTCAGAATCTGACCACATGCCCTCACAAAATTCCTTAAGCTGCTCAAAATCTCTTTGCCTCAGAAGCCATTTCTCTTGTTTTACAGGTAAAAAATGAAATAGAAAAGAATACTTGTGAGCTCTATTTCTCCAGTTAATTTCTCTCTTCTTGCATATTGGTCTAAACTTATCATAATTTACGAGGCACAATATTCTTGCAACCTTGACCCTTTCATATCATACTTTGTCATTAACTACGTGGGTCGGTTATTATTCAAGCCAGATAGTAATGGATAATGCTGTAAACTAATCTCATCAATAAACGAAAGTCAGGGAAAAAATTTAAAAGAAAAAAGGGATCCCACTATATGTATTTATTTATACCCGGTGTTTTAATTTTTTTTAAAAATAGATTTGTTCTGACATGTGGTGCATAAATATAATTATTAAATAGTATAGCCGAGCGGCTACACTATAGAATATATTAAAGGTATATCCGTGCGGCTATATCATATGAATATAATATCTAAAAGTATAGCCGTGCGGCTATACAGTATGAATAGAATATCTAAACGTACAGCTGCGCGGCTATACGCTATGAGATAAATTCATTCGAACACGGGCTGTCTTCTAGCCCCTCTCTCTCGCTCAGACATAACTGGCGACCTCTCTTCGTCAATCCTCATCTCTCTCTCTCATAGCACCATCGTCATCTCGTCCCTGACCTTGGAGATTCCAAAATGGCTTTTGTTTTTTTCTCTAGGCGCTACCGCCTGCCTAGACTGCCTAGCGACTGCCTAGACCGCCTAGTGCTTGCCTAGCGACCGCCTAGTGACCGCCTAGGCCATTAACAATATGAGTGAGTGTGTTCAAGGATTTAACTTGTAAAGAAGATTTCCGAACAACAACAGATAACCTAGAGAAGTTTCGGCACAGACTTATCCTCTCGTGAACCACCCATTGCCTTCCCAATTCCACCAACTGCAGAACTATTCCACCCTTTGGTTTTGGGTTTTAGTATCGCTACTTTGATTAAGAACTTCAATATACGGAGATGAATCGAAGTGCTGTTTCAGTTTTTCAGTTTCTCTGTTTCTCTTACTCTCTGTTTTCTATGTTTCTCCGTCTCCGGCACAATCGGATCGCCACACTCACATGTACATCTGCGATTTGCAGATCGCCATGATCGCTATGTGTGGTGGCTCCCGTGGGAATTGTCTTTGATGGAAAATTGGTCATTGACCATTAACATATTATTCTTTTTCATTTGGTTTTGATTTCACAATTGTGTTTCTTATTTCTTGCTCTTGTTTCACAGTTTCGTAAGAAGATATTATTGGTCCCCCCTAAGTCCTTGTTTGGGCAGCATAACATCTAAAAGTTTTATTTTTGCACGAATGTTCTTTACGTACGATATTTTTGTTGCTTGTGATTGTCGATGATCATACGTCATCTAATTGGTTCCTCTTCCATTAGTGGTTTGGGATTTTGTTCTGCACATTTCTTCATATTTTACTGTTAGAGTTGCTTTGTTGCATGGTTTTTGGCCCTATACAAGCCTTGGCAGTTACAAAGTTGGGAGCAGTTTTTGGCGGTTCATTTGATCCTCTACAAGCATTGCAATTCCAAAGTTGGGAGCAGTTACTACCGGTTTTATTGGGTGTTTTCAACGTTAACAGATAAGTTTGGAGTAGATTCTTGTGGTTTGATGGTTACTACAACACCAGATAAATTTTGCCTTGTTGGCCATGTTATGTTGTTACATTTAGAACGATCATCTTGGTGTTTTCTTTGTTACTTTTGTTTTCCTTTTGTTGTGTCATTGTGTTTATTTTTCTTGTTTTGTGGATTTGTGGGTTTTGTGTCTTTAGTTTTCTTTGTTTTGTCTGCAGCTTGGTTTTAGTAGGCTTTTGTTTCTTTTTATGGTTACTTGTTGTTTTGCTTTCGTTTTAGCATGGGTTTTTTTTAGTTGTTGTCTTGTTTCAGTTTGTTTTTTAAGTTTTCTAATAAGGTTCTTCTACACTCAGTTTTGCGTAGTTGTGTTCTTATTTTTGTTTTAAGTAGACATTTGTAGGTTGTCGGTTAAGTTCTCATGGTGTGTATGCACTGTTCTTTTTTCTTTTCTTTTATTTTGTTTCCAGCTTTTGTGCTTCTAACTTTATTTTTTAACCTTTTGTTTGGGTTTTGTTGGCTAGTTCTCTTTTCTTACTGTTCATCCACAACCAAACTTGCAAGGAACATGGCATATACATATCAAAACCAGTGTCACGTGTTCCCTCATATATACAAACGTCACCTTTACATAACACAACATACATGCCTTATTCTTTCATGAATTACATATAGTACATGCAAGCAGCTGACCCGGTAAACAGCAACTAGAATGATACTCGAATATCAAGCAATGT